TGCAACAATGAAAAGTACAAGTTGTCATGTTGAAAACAAACTTTACAACTTTGGTGGAGGGGGGAGGATTGGTTGAAGGGGCAGGGGAGGCTGGGAAGGGATGTAAAGGGTAAACAAAGGAGGAGGCTACAATGCTTGATAAGAAATGTACTCATTATCTTGTCTATGTAATTGTAACCCCCTCTGTACAGTATGTTCACAATAAAAATTAAAAAAAAACAAAACAATATTACTATTAGTTAACAATATCTAATATTTATAAACCTTACAGGTGTCAACAAGAAGCTAGTGAGAATGCCAGGCACTGGTGGCTCACCCCTGTAATCATAGCTATTCAGGAGGCTGAGACCTGAGGAGCATGGTTCAAAGCCAGCCTGGGCATGATAGTCTTTGAGACTCTTATCTCCAATAAACCACTAGAAAAAAAAATCAGAAGTGGCCCTGTCGCTAAAGTGGCCCTTCAGCTGAAGAGCACAGGGACACCGCCCAAGCACAGAGCTCAAGCCCCACAACCAACAACAAAAAAAAAAAATTATGAGAATAGATAAATGAATGTGGCAAATTTGAGGATGCAAAATCCACCCATGTACTAAATATATTTCCATTTGATAACAAGGCACTTTGAAAAAATAAGAAGTCAGTGTTAGTTACAAAAATAAAACACTTAAGAATAAATTTAACAGCATTTAATATTTTACATAGCATTTCATGCTTTTGTCCCAGCTGGTCTTGATCACAGGCCTCTTTTTAAAATTTTATTTTATTGTAAAGAGGCTGTACAGAGGGGTTACAGTTGCATGAGTAAGGCAATGAGGACATTTCTTGTTGAGCATTGTTCCCCCTTCCCTTGTTGTTCTACCACTATTCCTTCCTTCCCCCACCTCTTTCCCTCTCACCTCCACCCAAAATTGTAAAGTTCATTTCCAAAGTACTGTCTTGTGGGTATCATCATGCCTTCTTGTAACTGGAATGACCCAGCTTATTATATGTAATGAAGTCTGACGTTATGCTGATGACACTCCTGATAACAGACTTAAATCCACAAAATTTCATAATTTTATGACTCATTAGAAAATAAGAAAAATAATGATCAAAATATTTAAGTAACAATTTCATGAACACTGCTAAATAAACATATCAATGAATTGAAATTCATTTTTAATTATTAATGTTTTTTATTATTAATAAGTTTTTTTATTGTGAAAAAACCATATAGAGGGGTTACAATTACATGAGCAAGGTAATGAGTACATTTCTTATCAAGAATTGTTGCCTCCTCCTTTGTTTCCTATTACTATTCCTACCCTCCCATTCCTCTCTCCCCCCAACAAAGCTCTAAAGTTTGTTTTTCAACATAGCATCTTCTGGGGGGGGGAGGGGGGAGGCTGGGAAGGGATGTGAAGGGTAAACAAAGGAGGAGGCTGCAATGCTTGGTAAGAAATTACGCATTATCTTGCCCATGTAATTGTAACTCCTCTGTACAGTATGTTCACAAAAAAATTAAATTAAATT